AGAGAGAGAGAGAGAGAGAGAGAGAGAGAGAGAGAACGTGCGCAAGCGTATGGCTTTTGTGATTCATTCATGTGATTGTGTGTATCAGCAGTTCATTTTCATTATAATGAAGTGTTAATCCATTATACAACTATACCACAATTTATTCTTCTCTTCATAGTTAGTTGATGGGCATTTGAATTATTTCCAGTTTATTGGCTATTGTGAACTATCATGTAAAAGTCTCTGTAAGGACATTATTTTCATTTCTCCTGGGTAAATCTGTAGGAGTGGGATTGCTTTGTTGTATGTTAAGTGTAAGACTCTGCTTTTCAGAGTGGCTGTACTAATTTAAATGCTCACCAGCAACATAAGATAATTTCAATTTATATTTTGGTTAAGTGCATATGTATCTTTTCCCCTGAGAATTCTTTAAGGGCAATAATCTTGATATCCTACACCAATGCCTATTTAAATATTTAATTGTAGATGCTCAATTTTGAGATTGGATCTCAACAGGTTATCTTTTTGTGTGACAAGATAAAAATGACTTTTTTATTGAGTGAAAATAAGAATTGGGCTATTAAAGTTAATTTTTTTTCTTTTTGTCTTTATTTAGGAAGAATTTTATTTGCTTTAATGGCAGAATCAAAATATTTAGTATCAGTGAGGATAACTATTTTGAATCACTGATTCAGTCAAATTTATATTTTGACCATTTACTTGCAGCACTGGATACAATTTAGCGAATGTTTTATAGCTCACATTCTTTTTTACCAATCACAATATGATAATTTCAGACAAATCTGTTTTTTCTTTTACGTGTACAGCTACCTCAAAGGGAAATATTGTAGGCCTTTATTACTTGGGTTTTCTTTGACACTTACTTATATGTTGTTAGTTTTATAATCAACTATTTGGTTGAATTATTCTTACCCTTAATGTTTTCCCTGAAATGAATTTAATCTTTTGTAGTCTGCCCTATTCTTTGGGAAAACTTCATTTGAAATTCCTGGCACTAGAAGGAAATCCTATGAGAACCATTCGAAGAGAAATTATAAATGTAAGCATATTTGGAAATCAGTTTTTAAATTTGAAATTTATACATATATGTTGATGTATAAAACTTTTAAGATGTCTTAGTGAATATGTGCCTTTCTACCTTTTCAGAAAGGAACCCAAGAAGTCTTAAAATATCTACGAAGCAAGATTAAAGGTACTTTTCAATTTTCTTCTGCGTTAGAAGGATGATATGAAAGGTAGTAAAGTACTAATAGTACATAAATTTACATGTATTTGGGGTATAAATAATTAGAGGAAATGGTTCCTGCCAGGTGTGGTTGTAATAATCCATATAGGCCATAAGTATGTTGAAGTTATAAAAATATCCTTAAATCCACAATAATAATGTTCTGCCTTTAATCTGTTGATTTGTGTGTTATAGTGTACCAATTAGAAAATGTAACAAAGCAAAACTTGACTTCTATCGTATAATATATGGGCTTTATCTATATCTATCTGTCTATCAATCTATCTATCTATCTATCTATCTATATCAGTGGTTCTCAACCTTCCTAATGCCACGACCCTTTAATACAGTTCCTCATGTTGTGGTGACCCCCAACCATAAAATTATTTCTGTTGCTACTTCATAACTGTAATTTTGCTACTGTTATGAATCGTAATGTAAATATCGGATATGTAGGATGTATTTTCATTATTACAAATTGAACATAATTAAAGCATAGTGATTAATCACAAAAACAATATGTAATTATATATGTGTTTTCCGATGGTCTTAGGTGACCCCTGTGAAAGGGCCGTTTGACCCCCAAAGGGGTCGTGACCCATAGGTTGAGAACTGCTGATCTATATACACATACATACACTAGAGGCCTGGTGCACGAAATTCGTGCACGGGGTGGGGGTGTGTGTCCCTCAGCCTAGCCTGTACCCTCTCCAATTTGGGACCCTTTGGGGGATGTCCAACTGCTGGTTTAGGCAGTCGGACATCCCTCTCACAATCCGGGACTGCTGGCTCCCAACTGCTGGCCTGCCTGCCTGATTGCCCCTAACCGCTTCCACCTGCCAGCCTGGTCACCCCCTGACCATTCCTCTGCCAGCCTGATCAACACCTATCTGCTCTCCTGCTGGCCCGATTGCCCCCGATTGCCCCCAATTGCCCTCCCCTGCCAGCCTGGTCACCCCCAACTGCCCTTCCCTGCAGACCTGGTCCCCCTGACTGCCCTCCCCTGCTGGCCCAGTCACCCCTAAGTGCCCTCCCCTCCACAACTGCTCTCCCCTGCCAGCCATCTTGTGGTGGCCATCTTGTGACCATATGGGGGCGGCTATCTTTGACCACATTGGGGCGGCCATCTTGTGCAAAGGTGTGACAGTCAATTTGCATATTACCTCTTTTTATATAGGATATGCTTATTTATGTAGTATAATGTATGGGTTTTATATACATGGTATAATCTATAATAATAAAAGCATAATATGCAAATCGACTGAATGACCGAACAGCAGAATGATCGTCTGGATGACCACACTATGACACGCACTGGCGCCAGGCCAGCCAAGGTGGGCGTAATGCGATTGATCAGGGGGCCCTGCCATCCCCCAAGATCGCCCCTCAGAGGGAGGCCCAGGCCACCCTCTGAAGGGCGATTGATGGGGGCTCCGCAATCAATCTCCCGGCAGCGGGAGGCCCAGGCCAGCCAAGCGCTCTCACCCCGCGCCTGTTGCCCGCAGAGGGAGGTGACGGTGGCGGGGAGGGGCAGGCAGCGCCGCACAGATGGTGAGCAGTGGCAGTGGCGGAGGTGGGGCCAGCTGCTGGCAGCTGGGGGAAGGAAAGCCCTGACAGGCCCTTATCACTGGCTAGGCCTAGGGACCCTACCTGAGGGGTCCTGGATTACCAGAGGGTGAATTTCATGCACCGGGCCTCTAGTATATAATAATATATGTGGGTATAAATAATATTGACTAGGAAGTATATTAGCAGGTATTTGAATATCTTTTGCCTTAGCTAAGTTCTGACAAAAAATAAATACAAAACACATTTTTCAGAATATGTTCATTTAGCACAAACAAAGGAGAAAATGATACTATAAATTTAATTCTTAATGCTTCACTAAAATTGTGATATATCCCAAATTTTTATTTAGTGTATGTCATTGTGGCATACATTAGAGCATTAAGATTTAAGCAAAAACATTAGTTGTATGAGTATATTGCTGTAGATACCACTAAACCACTCCAAAACTTAGTGGCTAAATATAGCAGCTGTTAATTTAGCTCAAAACTCTGTTGGTTATGCACAACTTAGCCTAGCACCATATGGCTAGTCAGTATATGTTATATAAATAATTGTATACTTCAGTATATTCCATTTTCTGCCTTGTCCTTTAAACAAATTATTAAAATCATATTCTAAGACTTATTTCCTGCCAAAGAGTTTCCTTTCTTCTCCAGGTATGCTTTCTCTTCCAGAAAAATTTATTCTGGTATGAATCAAGTCATTTCAGATCAGAATTTTTTTAAGACTTAATTTTTAAAAAAATATATTTTTTAAATTTATTTCAGAGAGGAAGGGAGAGGGAGAAGCATCAATGATGAGAGAGAATCATTGATTGGATGCCTCCTGCACACCCCCTACTGGAGATTAAACCCGCAACCCGGGCATGTGCCCTGACCTGGAATTTAACCATGACCTCCTGGTTCATAGGTCAATGCTCAACCACTGAGACACACCGGCTGGCTTAAGACTTAATTTTTTAAGAATAGTTTAAAGTTTACAACAAAATTGAGAGAAAGGTACAGAAATATCCCATATATCCTTTGACCCCCATATGCATAGTCTCCCCCGTTGTCAATATCACTCACCAGAATGGTACTTAAAAAAAATTTTTTTTTTTTTAACCAAGGATGAACCTACATTGACACATCAGAATCATCTCAAGTCCATAGTTATCTTATGGTTCACTCTTGCTGGTCTACTATTATTGTAATATCATATAAAATATTTTCACTGCCCTAAAAATTCTCTATGATATGCCTCTGCATCCCTGGCAACAGCTGATCTTTTTCTTGTCTCCATAGTTTTTCCCTTTCCAAAATGTCATATAATTGGAATCATACAATTTGTAATCTTTTAAATTGGCCTCTTTCACTTAGTGCTAGCATTTAAGCATTCTCAGTATATGTTTTATACCTTGATTGCTCATTTCTTCTTAATGCTGAATAATATTTCATTGTCTGGATGTCCTCAGTTTATCTATTAACTTAATGAAGGATATCTTGTTTGATTCCAAATTTTGGCAGTTATGAATAAAGCAGTATTTTTTTTGTTTGTAGATGTCTTGTTGATTTGGTACTATATGAGGAAAACATGACCTTTGCTACATTATATTGCCTTTGCTCATTTGTCCAACATCAGTTGACTATATTAATAGGGTTTTACTTATGGGCTCTCTCTTCTGTTCTTTTGTCTCTATTACTGTAGCTTTATAATAAGTCTCAAAGTTGGATAGTGTCAGTCCTTCAACTTTTTCTTCTCCTTCAATAGATTGTTGGCTATTTTGGTCTTTTGCCTTTCCATATAAACTTTAGGTTCAGTTAGTCAGTATTGGCAAAATAACTTGCTAAGATTTTTATTGTGATTGTGTGAATCTATAGATCAAGCAGGGAAGAATTGATCCTGACAATATTTGGTCTTCAACCTGTGAACACGGGATATCTCTTATTCTTTGATTTCATTTATGAGAGTTTTGTAGTTTTCCTCAGTTAGTTCTTGTACATATTTTGTTAGATTTATACAAAAGTATTTTATTTTGACAGAGGCTAATGTAAATTACATTGTGTTTTTAATTTCAAATTCTACTTGTTCATTGTTGATAGAGAAAAGCAATTTACTTTTCCATATTAACCAGGTATCCTCAACCTTCTGTAATCATTTACTTAGTTCCAGGAGGGTTTTTTTCCAGTTCTTTCATGTCTTCTACCTAGATGATTGTGTCATCTGTGAACAAAGACAGTTTTATGTCTTCCTTCCCAATCTCTATACCTTTTACTTCCTTTTCTTGCCTGATTGCTTTAGGAGTACAATGTTGAAAAGGAGGGTGAGAGGGGATATCCGTGCCTTGTACCTGATAGTAAGGGGATAGCTTTGAGATTTTCACCATTAAGTTTGATATTACCCTGTAGGGTTTTTGTACATAGTTTTTATCAAGTTGAGAAAGTTCCTCTTGTGGAAGCTAAAAAAGTAAAACTTTTCCTTTTTCTAACTTTTTCTAGCTGGGCTAATTTAGGGACAGGATTAACAGGAGAAAATAAAATTTTAGTACATGTATATGGGGAATTTACATAAGTATGAAAATTCCATAAACAGTGAGATAATATTTGGTACATGTGACATTTTGGACAAAGGAGGACAGGGAAGGAACAAGATACTAGATTTCAGAAATGACAATGGTTGATTTATAGGTAGTTGAGGAAGAGTAGAACACGTGTCACGCAAATCCTTGCTATGCAACTCAGAAACAATGTGACACAGACCCCATCTAGTTAACAGACCCCTACCTGAAGTCTTTCTATTTACCATACTTATTTCAAATTAGGCTAAGGCAAACATGGTAAGATTTCTGTCCTGTAGCAGGGTTTTTTTATCTGAATCTCTTGGGCAAGAAAGGGGTGAAAGGTTTTTTTCCCCTGAGTCTTTTGTTTCTTTTTGTATTGGTAGAAAGCCTTAGTTTCATGGAATCACATCCCTGGATTTCTCAAGTCCCATTTCCCTTAGTCCAGTCATAGAAAAATATAGCTGGAGTTTCAGTAAAGTTAGAAGCAGAGTCAAAGTCCAGAGTTTCCATTCTGTGTTGCAGCTGGGCCCAGTATAATAACATCAGGTTAGCTGTAGTCCATTTGTCCATTGTGTATGGATGAATGCAGGGAAGCAGGAGCAGAAGAGCCCCCACCAGCCAGGAGTTAAGTGTAATGCACCAAGAACCTGTTGTTTCTTCATAGCAGCTTCAAATCAATATTCTAAAAGGAAGTTTCAAGATGGCAAGACTTTGGTCCCCTTCTTCCTCTATTCCTAGTTTGCTGAGTGTGTGTGTGTGTTTTTTAAATCATGAATGAGTGTTGGATTTTGTCAAATGCTTTTTTATACATCTGTTGCTATTGTTATCGGTGGGGTGCCATCTGTGTCCCCATCTGTTATCGGTGGAAGTGGAGTTCTTGGGATGTCACAAGGAAAGGAATTTCGTGAGACTCACAGGGAGGATGAGTGATCTTTATTTCCATGGAATTAAGCCCCTGGGTTCCCAGTGTACCATTTCCCTCCATCTTGCCATGAAAAAAGTCCAATCTTGTCTTCAGCAGGCCACTGCTCACAGTCTCTGCTCCATATTAAAGCACAGTCCAGTCCAGCATCTGGCCAGCTTAGTTTGTGTTCCCAGCTGTACTCCATCCATTGTGTGTGTAGAGAGAGAACAGGCAAGCACACAGGACGAGTGCTGGTCATGGAGCAAGAATGTCAGAGCACAAGAGCAGAACAAGAGAGTGGGAACTCTTTGGGAATTATGTAGTCCCAAATTTTCAGGAGCTTGCATTGGGGTCTGTGTTCCTAACCAAACCATTGTTTCCCAGGCTAGACTGATAGGCAAGTAGCTTCCCTACGTCACCCCTACTTCTCTGTGCATGCTTCCTTCTCCCCCTTTGTTGGATCTCTTCCTTCAGTGTTCTGCAGGGAATGGACCCATGGCTTCCTGGTGAAGCTGCCTAGATGACCGTGCTTCTAATGTCTTGCCTCACCTTTGCTCTCTTGCTATTATTAGTATTAGTAACTAGCTAATTATGACAATAGCAGTATGGTCCTGTCATTTTTCTTTTTTAGCCTGTTTATGTGAAGGATTACATTAATTGATTTTTGAACCTTGAACTAGCCTTGCATACCTGCATCAAATTCCACTTGGTTGTGGTGTGTAATTTTTTTAAATACTTTTTTAGATTTGATTTGCTAGTGAAGGGAACCAATGTTTTGCCATCCTGAAGTTGCCTTTTGGAATATTGATTTTCAGAAACAAGACTCAGAGGTAGGCTTTGACTCTCTTCCCTTTCCTGCCCAAGAGATTCAGAGAAACCTGCTTTAGAAAGAGAGCCTGGCTTAATCACCTTAAGAATCATTGCGCTAGCATTAGGTAGGAAGACTCCAAGTGTGTTTGCTAAATGCATCCTGTGTCCCATTGTTTCTGAGTGTCTGGCAAAAAGTTTCAATCGCACTGTATGTGTGTGCCCACACATGGTATTTTGTGGAAGAACCACACTGAAGGGGCCAAAGAGCCGCATGTGGCTCGTGAGCCATGATTTGCTGACCACGGGACTATCCAGTTTCCCTGCATCACTTGTTGAAAAGGCTATTCTTTTCAACAAGGTCTTTCCATTCTCGTTGAAAATCAGTTGGCCATAAATGTAGGGTGCATTCTGGCCTCTCAATTTTATTCCACTGATCTCTATGTCTATTCTGTGCCAGTACCACACTGTCTTAATGACCATTGCTTTGTAGTAAGTTTTGCAATCAGGAAATGTAAGTCCTCCTACTTTAATCTTTTTCTCAGGCTTGTTTTGGCTCTTCTGGGTTTCTTGCAATTCCATACGAATTTTACAATCAACTTAATTTCTACAAAGAACTCAGCTAGGATTCTGTTAGAGGATTGCATTGAATTTGTAGTTCAGTTTTGGGAATATTGCCAAGGCAGTGCTAAATGTCTCTGGAGATTAGAGAGAGGGTTGATTTGTGTGTGAATGTGTGAGTGCACAGACATGTTAGGAAATATTTATTGAAAATAGCCCAGCTCAGTAGTTGAACTGTGAACCAGGAGGTCACAGTTCGATTCCCAGTCAGGGCGCATGCCTGGGTTGCAGGCTTGTTCCCCAGTGTGGGTTGTGCAGGAGGCAGCTGATCAATGATTCTCTCTCATCATTGATGTTTCTATCTCTCTCTCCTTCTCCCTCCTTCTCTGAAATAAATAAAAAAGAAAGGAAGAAAGAAAATAGTCTTACATTTGCTAAAAAAAAAAACTTAATGTAAGTAATATATTAAAAGTTTCCTGGATTAGACAAATTACCAGATTTTAAATGATTGAGGATATCAGCTTCATTGTGTTCTAAAATGACAAGATAGGCATATGCCTATTTTGTAGACATTTGTGGGAAATAATCATTTTTTGCTGTTGTTTTTAATATATTTCTTCTAATGGACTATATTATTTTGCTTAAGAGGAAGGATTCCTTGTTGTTTCTTCTGAGACATTTTAGTTATTCTGAAAGGTTCTTTCCTACTTCTGAGTTTCCGTATGGTACGATTTATTAATAGATTTTGAAGCCACATTATAGTAACTTCATTTTCTATTAATTAAATATTAAATTCAAACTCAGATTTGAGTTATTGGAGATAAAGCATATGACTAAGACAGTCTCATCAATTACATAAAGAAATCATATATATAATTTTTATGTATTTTCTTAATTTTCAAAAATGACTTTATACTATATTTATTGGTTTCATATAACATTTCCCCCCTCAGATGATGGACCTAGACAAAGTGACTCTGTTATTGAGACTGCCATGACACTACCAAGTGAATCTAGAGTCAATGTACATGCCATCATCACATTAAAAATATTAGACTATAGGTATGTAATTCATTTTTTTTAAACGTAACAAAATGATGGAAAATTTCAGAAATAAACCTTTTGCAAAAGTGCATTAGTATGCTTGACTTAGAATAATAGCAATTGTAAAAGCAATGATGAGATAGAAGCATATTAAAAGTTCAGTGAACTTAAATGCCCATTTCTTAGGTGGTTTGTATGTATTATGCTAGAGATGAATCAATGGTTATTAATAGTAAAATGTTTATAATAAAGAACCTTTATGAAAAATAAAGGGTGACAGTATTGGTTGGTAATAAAATTTTCTGACCAGCATCTAGAGAGGATTTTTATATTGGTATGGGGCAGGGGGGAGGCAGGGAGGTGTGTCTATGTTAGTAAATTAGAAATAAATATAATTTAGTTAATGAACACCCCAAGCAGGCAAAGCTTGAGAGGTTGTATTGTATTAATATATCTGAATGAAAATAAAATAATGTCATAGTAACAATGTGCTCTGGTAGCACATATATTCAGTCTGAAACAGTTACAATGTTGGTATGTAAACTGAGACAAAGCTTAAAAATTTTTATATATTATGGAAGTGTATTTGATTGGGGAATGAGGATACCTATGCAAAGTTTGGGAGTGGTTAAGTGTTCTATCAGTACTGAGGTGACAAAGATAAAAATAACCAATACTATCATAGCTCTTGGAATGATTGGCTCGGTAACGTAATGAAAATACAGAATAACACCAATTCATCTACACAGCCAGCTTTAATATTTTGCCTCTTTTCCTCAGTGTGTCAGTAGGAACCACCTTCTCAGTAGTCAGTATCCTCCAAAAAAATCTATACAGTAATAGTAATACAATTATATTTGAGATAATCAATCCTACTTTTTAAAGACACACGTATCACTAAAGCATAATAAATACAACATTTAAGACTACCCATCTTAGATTACATACTTAGATTCTGAATTTATTGTAGTTTGTTTTCCTCAGAGACTTTAATTGGAAAAGAGTATACCATTTAAGATACAAATTAATTCCCAATTTTAAGTTATAAATGCCTTCTACTAAATTTTAAAAAATAGCATGAATCCTCAAAGTTTGATTAGAATAAATCACTTTCTGATGACTTGAACATAGCTGATTGAAAAGATAAAAATGCTACATCTGCCCAGCAGAAAATGGAGTCCTAAGCAGAAAAAGTAGAAGGCATAATACGTATGGAATTTAGGCTGTCTTTTTTCCTATCTGTATTGCAATAACTTTCTTACACAGTTCTCCCATACTGCACACATGATATTGCTTTTTTGTACATACAGTCATTCAGTGGACATTCTATCGAGGATGCTTTTAAGTGGGTGATGTATTAGGCATTAAAAATTATAAAAGAAGAACATAAAGATAATGGCTAATTATAACAACAGATTGTTAAATGTCAGTAGTCTATAGTTTCATTTAAGATTAAATTATATTTCATTAAAAATCTTACTGAAAATTTTAATTTTACTGAAAAGGAAATTTATATTTACATTTGTAAAAGATCTGGCCTAAATATCAATTAATAACTCTTTAGATTCTAATTTCAAAGAACTGAGGTTCAGGGAAGGTGAATGGTAAAGCTCCTTAATGGTAAAACCAGAAATTGTTTATTCTAAGGCCACTACTCTGTCTACCTTGTCACAAGCTAAAGGAGAGAGAAATTGGTTTAGGTTATGAGAACTCTAGTACAATATTGAACATTTAAGAATGATTCTTATCTTGCAGTTTAATGTATACCTAAAGAAAGTTGACAGATAGCCTGTATTAAAGAATTTTTAAAAAGGGGCAAAAACAGTTTTTAAAATTACAGATTTAGTTCTACTCTGAGGTAGAGGAATCCATTTACTGAGTTACTAGCTATTTACTATATGACTTCTAGACATTAGAGTCTGGAGATATATCTTTATTTTTATTAACATTGAGTATATGAATGCTCAGAAGGTACATTGTGTTGTGACACAGTATGTTGTCTAAATTCCTGACAGTTAACATTTTGTGGATTGGCAGGTTTTTGTAGCATTCTTTACAGAACTACATTATTAACTAACTACCTTAAAATTGTCTTATAAAATCTTTAAAGTCCTTTAAAAAGTAATAATCATATTTTTCTGGACTTCTCAAAGTTAAACATTTTTCATTTAGTGATAAACAGACAACCTTGATTCCCGATGAAGTGTTTGATGCAGTAAAAAGCAATATTGTCACTTCTATTAACTTCAGTAAGAATCAGCTATGTGAAATTCCAAAAAGGTAAGAACTGTTCATGATGCCATTTCTATTAAGTTGTTACTCATTCTAAGTTTTGTTTCATCTTAGTTGCAAAAATATTTATTTTATAGTTTTTACATTTGAAAGTGTATATAAAGTTTCTTGCATTAATAATACTTGAGGGATTTAGCAAAATTTATTTAAATATTTCCTGAGACACTTTTGCTGTTTTTGTTTGTTTGTTTTAAATATATTTTTATTGATTTCAGAGAGGAAGGGAGAGGAAGAGAGAGATAGAAATATCAGTGATGAGAGGAAATCATTGATTGGCTGCTTCCCACACGCCCCCTACTGGGGACCGAGCTCACAACCTGGGCATGTGCCGTTGGCCGGAATCAAACCTGGGACCCTTGAGTCCGCAGGCTGACGCTCTATACCGTGAGCCAGACTGGCTAGAGCTGTTATGAGAGGTGTATATACATAGATTTTTTTCTAAAACTTTGTTTCTTTTTTTACATTTTAAACTTGGAGACTAGGTATCAGAATTATTAAAAGTATTACATTACTTTTCCCCACATAATGAAAAATACATGAGGAAAGTTTTAAGAGACTATCTAAAGCCAGGTTCATATAGATTAATAGGAATTTATATTTGGGGCTTTATATTAGTGAATTGAGAACCCACTGAATTTTTCCACTGAAAGCGAAAATAAAATTGATTGAATCCTATTACTATTTTTTCCTAGAAAAGTATTCTTTACTTCCAAATATTAGAAGTCTTTTTCATTATATTTTGTTTAAAACATCTTTTTAGATGTAAATTATAGCAGAATTTTAGGTTTTGAGAAAAATTAGTTTCATGTTGAACTTTTACAAATGAATGTTCTCTTGCAATCTATATCTACACTAATAAAAGAGAAACATGGTAATTGGCGTACGATCGCTACCCTTCCCATTGGCTAATCAGTGAGATATGCAAATTAACTGGCAGCCAAGATGGCAGCCGGCAGCCAGGCAGCTGATTCGAACAGTGAGGCTTGCTTGCTTCAGTGACGGAGGACTCCAATGTTCCCCGCCTGAGTTGCTGTCCTCTCACCTGCAACTCTAAGTAACTATATGGGCTTCAGCCTGCCGGACCGCAACATTGTATCAAATACAGACAGTAAACAAAGGCCAGAAATCTGGTTTCAGCAGCCGAGGCCTCAGAGCTAAAGCTGGCCCTGAATAAAAAAAAGAAAAAAGAAAAAAAGGAACAGTTGGGAGCTTCAGTCCCAGCCTGAAAACAGTTCAGCCCCTCACCCAGACTGGCCAGGCACCCCAGTGGGGACCCCCACCCTGAAGGGGGTGTGACCAGCTGCAAAC